GGAAAAGTCTAACCTAACTTTTTCATTCCCCCCCCCCCCCCCGTTCATTTTTTTTAAATTTATCGTATTCCTTTACTTCCTGTTCTGCTGCTGGAGACGATTTCTGATACTTCAGTTATCTGGAGCAGTGTATCAACTTGGTTTTTTCGAGTGCCATACTTTGATGGTGCTGAAGTGAACATGTGAGCCTGGAATTGACCTGCAGGCATGGAGTTCCACATTTGGTGCTTTTCAGACCCTGTTCTGGCAACAAGTTGGCCACAGAGCCGATGACATTGCTTCAGCTCTTGTCTGGTCTCTGAAGACTCGCTTTAAAAGTATAGGAGTAGGCTGATTGGGTTGAGCGCAATGAGCTACCTTATTATTCAAAATCACATGGCACAATAAAAAATTCCCACTTTGTGACTTTTTACCGTGGAAGGTGTTAATGTAGAGGGCCTAAACACTGACATCATTCACTGGGTGGAAGTTCACCTTTGGAACTTGTTTCCATGGTCCAGCATCTGCAGCGTCTCCCAATCTCACCTCCCTGTGACAGTGGGCAGGGATGTACTCCTTGCATTGGTTGTCACTATTTGAGAATACTTTGGCTGTGCGGGGCTTCGCCCTTGCAGCCATGTCTTTTATTCAGTTTCCTGTGAATGAATGCCTACAAGTATTGTCAGCCATTGTGGTTGGTGACTTGTGCATTTCAATGAACTACAAGGGCACTGGTGAGCGTGCTCGTAGTCCATTGATCTTCCTGCTCTCAGGTAACTGCCTGTCTGTACAAGGTACGAGCAGACATCTACCATAACAGTCTGAAGGAGCCTGAAATTGCACCCACAATCCACTGATCCTGGGTGCAGTGCTCTGCAAAAAATAAATGCACTTTTTCTTATCTGCAAAATGTTAATTTTAATATTTTTTTTTTTCCAAAATGTAAACTTATCCTTGTTAAAGTTCTCATGGTCTTTGAGTGTTCCTTAGCTCCGCTGGATGAGGCCAAGTCTCATGCAGCCTTAGAGGCAGCCAGCCCCTTGATCACAGTGACAGGTTCTGAATCTCTGTCCCCTCAGCCTCTCCCTGAAGAGAGTATCCTTGAGAAATCAGTCTTCTGTTAAAGACCCATATTTAAAAGATCGTTTCAGCTCTGATGTGGTATGTACTGCTTTGCATGTAGAGGAAGCCCCTAAATCTGCAAAGGCCTGCCATCTTTTCCAGGTATTCCACTATGAGGTTCAGAAATACCCTGATGGAACCTGGACACATTTACTGGACTTTTTTTTTTTCTGTTTTGGAAGGAAGGAGTTTGCAAAACCGTTGTCTATACCCACTTTGGATCTACCAGTGACCCATCTTAACAGGAACCACTAGGTCAATTGAGGGTGTTACATTTGGTATACTTCACATTAAAGCATTCTACCAACCATCAACTAGAATCCCCTTTAAAACCGTTTTCGCTGGCTGGCCCTACCTTTCACAATATTATGGCTGTCACGTTAATTTGACAAACTGTAGCGGAATAGTTTAAATGCCTGAAAGGGGATCACGCTGATGTGGCAGTGAATCCTTTCCTAACTGAGCGTGTGGGGCAAATGTCTGAAAGATTACATTTCAGCTGTGATGGTCTACCGAAAGCATCTGTACACTCACATGGGTCTGTTGTGCAGAGCAGTTTTGGTGCTGACATCCAGACACTGTTCAAGGAGTGCCTGACCCGTCTGATCTCTGAGGGATGACATCTCTTCGGCCCTACCCTTGAAATTATCAAGGACATCACTGGATGTCAGAGCATCCATTTGCCTCCGCATAAGAAGTCTAGTGAGAAGATGGCTAAGTTCCTTTCCATTTCTTCCCCCTACTTCTGGAGTTGGCTGTAGATTGTTTCAGCCGCTTTCAAGGTCGTGAGCAAGAAGCCTGTTAAATCCTCTTGCATACCTTCGTTAGCATAAAGGTGTGCCCCCACTTTTCTAAGTTGGGGACATTTATCCTAGTTTTATGTTGTGTAGTTTTCCCCTTTTAGGCATTTAGGTGCAATGAGTGCCCTCTTAGAATTGAAAAATGAACCCTTGCCAACCGCACTCTCCAACTCCTCGCCTTCTGACCTGTGCCATTGTACAGACTAACCGACATTAATTTTGTCATCTTAGTTTCTTTTTGGCATGAATACCCTCACTCTAGCTTCTGTATTAACCTGGCCCTAACTGCTGCACATGGTATCCATCATATCTATCCCATGGGGACCTCCTGACTTCATGGACATTTAGGACACATTAAAAATGATCCTGACTTTCCAGGGCTCCATCTTTTCCATCTCACCCCACACCTTGTTTTCTTCAGGGTGCTCTCCCCAACACAGTCAGAAAACTGACCACAATGTGCTCTCATGGTGAGGTCAGTTGTTAACAGGAAAGCAGAGGGACTAGCAGGAACCTGATGGGGGAACGGAAACACTAGTTCCCCTCCCTTGTCTGCTTCCCTTTTGATTGGACAGCCCATCAGGCTCCACCCACTGTAGCGTCACAGGCTGTTAGGAGGCTGTTGGTTGTAAAGCTGACATTCTCCCAAGCCTAAGTTCACTTTTTGTTTTCTAAATTCCAGCTGCCCTGTGTACCAATATACCATTAATGTACTTCTCTTGCAGGAATAAAAAAGATTTCCATTTATTCCACACACCTATACCTCTAGTGTCCAGATGGGTGTAAAAACAAAAACTTGATTTAAAAAATGATTTTAACCACATGCCGCCCAGCCACTGTAGAAATACGGCGGCACGGCTGGGCAAAACCACGTTTTAAAACGTGTGTTTGCAAAACAGTAGGGGAAACGCGCCACCGCCCTACCTGTCTTGCCGATCATGGCCACGGATGTTAGTCGCTGGGTCACAGCCGTTCGTTATCGGCTGTGTCCCGCCGATTAGCGGCAATCACTGACAGAGAGCAAGGCTGCAGTAGCTCTGCTTTCTGTCAGTTCCGTGTCAGCTCCTGACATGCTGAGCCGGAGAGAAGAGTTTCTCTCCAATTGATCAGTGTGTGCCCCCCCCCCCCCCATGCAATACACACCTCCGCCCCCTAGTAAAACACTCCCCTCACACAGTTAACCCTTTCAGTAACTAAAGTTAACCCCTTCCTCCCCAGTGCCATTAGTACAGTGTCAGTGTTTTTTTTTTTTTTTTTTTGCACTGATCACTGTATTGGTGTCACTGGGGATGTCAGTGACCCCATGTCAGTTCTCCCCGTGTATGTCAGTTCCCCCCCCCCCCCCCCCCCCCCAGTGTCAGAATGTTCGCCGCAGTCCTGCCATAAGTCGCTGATCGCCGCCATTATTAGTATAAAAAAAAATTAAAAATCCCAGTATCTTTCCCGCCATTTGTAAACGCTAGAACTGTCACGTAAACCAATTAATTTACACGTATGGGTTTGGTTTTTTTTTTTAGCAAAGATGTTGCAGAATGCATTTTGGCCGAAATTTGACAATTTGATTTTTTAAATTTTTTTTTTTTACTGGACATGTTTTATAGCAAAAAGTCCAAAATATTTTTTTTTTTTCCTCACAATTGTCAGCCTTTTTTTTTTTTCTTATAGTGCAAAAAATAAAAAACGCACAGACGATCAAATACCACCAAAAGAAAGCTCTTTGTGTGAAAATAAGGACATAAATTTCATTTATGTACCGTATTGCATGACCGTGCAATTGTCAGTTGAACTAGTGCAGCGCTGTATAGCAAAAAAATGGCGTAAATTGCAGTATCTATACCATAGTTTGTAGACGCTATAACTTTCACACAAAGCAATCAATATACACTCATTGGGATTTTTTTTTACCAAAAACATGTAGCAGAATACATTTTGGCCTAAATTTATAACTAACTTTGAGTTTTACTATATATTTTTTATAGCTGAAAGTAAAAAATATTGTTTTTCTTCAAAATTTCAAAAGGACGTAAATTTCGTTTTTGGGTGCAGCATTGCATGACCCACGCAATTATCAGTTGAATTAGTGCAGCGCCGAGTAGCAAAAAAGAGGCCTGGTCATTAAGGGGGGTAAATCCTCAGGAGGGCAAGTGGTTAAAGGCTTATTTATTTTTTAAAAGATAACAATCATGTCTATACTTACCTGCTGTGTGCAGTGGTTTTGCACAGAGCAGCCCGGATCCTCCTTTTTCTTGGGTACCGTGCCAGTGCTCCTGGCCTCTCCCACCTGTTGGGTGTCCCCACAGCGAGCAGCTTGCTATTGGGGCACCTGCTGCTGCTCCGTGTATACATTCACACACGGAGCTGCATCTTGGGGCCCCGGTCCCTATCTCTTCTCATTGGCTTACTGGCTGTGAGTGACAGCAGTGGGAGCCAATAGCTCCCCCCTTCTATCTCAGCCAGTGAGAAGAGGGAGTTCTGGGATAACCAAGACTCCAGTGCACATGGTGGATTGAGAAGGCTTAGGTGAGTATTATGAGGTGCTGGGGGGGGGGGGGGTTGATGCTGCTCAGAGGTTTTTTTACCTTTAAATGCATGAAGGTAAAAAACCATGAGCCTTTAGTACCACTTTAAAGCTGAACTTTAGCCAGAAAATTAAGTCCTGCTCAATCACTTTAGGCTGGCCCCTTTTGCAGATATAGCTATGTCAAACATTAAAAATAAGTGCCTATAATGTTTAAAATGCAGTAATACACTGTCTCACCCTGATCTGCACATGCTCAGTTTGCTCTCTATTTTTTTTGGCACTGTGCTGAAAATGTAGAGGCTGATCTGCTGCTGACAGCCTAAATATTTACTGCTGCTCAGGGGCGGTGGGCTTTAGCAAAATGGCAGCCTTCAGCATGAAGGACTAGGAGCAATGCTGGAGGCAGTTTACAGCACATTCCAATTTTGGTAGAATAATTATTAATGTGAAATGTATGTTCCTTGCTAAAGAATATTTTTAGCAAGTTATGGGTAAAGTTCTGCTTTTAAAGATGTGCTTTGTGAATTCTGCCTCTGCAGTCTCCTAATGACCTGTTTCTCTCTCTCTCTCCCATTCAGATGAGCAATGCTTGGAAGATCATTGCTTTTGGTGGCTCCAAGGACCAGCTGCTCATGCAGGAAAAAGCACGAGCAATCCTGAACTTATACAAGCCCAGCGCTGCTTCTCGGACCCTCATCCTATCTTGATACACTCCATCAAACGGTATAAATGTGCCACAGAGGATGCGTCTTTATTACTCTAGATAGAGAAATTCCACAGGATTGCTGTCATGCGGTTGCTACCGTTGACTCAGCTGCATTTGTACATTCTCTGGATGACATTGAATTAAAGTGGATTGCATCCAGGTCCTTTTTGGTATTGTCCTGTGACAGTTTGAAACCAGTGAACAATCTGAAAAGCCAGTTCCTTGGATCAAAGTGTACAGATTACCTACACATATCAAGCACCTCTGGTTTGCGTTTGATAAACATTTAACTTAACCTCAAGTTGTAAGTTAATTGCACACCCTTTGTTTTTGTGAGAGGCAATACCTTTCCTGACATTTGCTTCTCACGCGTATTGCATTTCAGATGCACATAATTCTATTTTTATTATACCTTCAAGCAAAACTCCACTTAATACAAGCTAGCAATGTGCTTTCTATCCCAACACAACTTTCAGATGCGGCTGTGAATCAAGGTTTCCGACTGCACAGTATTACAAGGAAGAGTAATCTAATTTAATAAGTGAGAATTCTTAAGACAACATCTGAATATCATTGCATTTAATAAGCGAAGATGTAGAGAAGAACCTGTTTATTATTGGATTAAAGAAGTGAAATACAGACATGGAACTTTTGAATGTCAGATTTCTAGATGGATTCTCTAGAAGAAATGTTTGCCCTCCTACTTTGTTGACCTTGAACTAAGAATTAGTAAATTTAATTATTAGTAGCCTATATATTGAAGTTTGTCCCCTGCTCTTCTTCTTTTTTTTTTTTTTATTAAAAATCATGGGGTGTTAAAAGTAAAACACGTACCTGGTTTGTTTATTGGAACTGAAAAACCTCACAAGACAAGAACAGCTATATAAAATTTTAGTGGTACTGTTTAAATAAAGTTTTGACTTGCAACTGTTGATTACAGCCTGAGGATTTGATTTATTGGACTCATAGCTGCTGACTCAGTTCCTGTAAGGGTTATGATTGCTTGGTGACATTTAATTAATCTGTCTTTGCTGTCTTCCCTGAAAATGCCAGTTGCCTGGCTGTTTTGCATTGGCTTTTGATACTTGAAGGCCTTGACCTGGGGCTACTTTAGACTTTTCCTTTTGACTTTTTTATATTGTGCATGCTTGTTTAAAATGAAACTACACTGCATTTGAGCACCACAAACTAAAACACTTTTTAGTTCATTTTTAATATTCAAAGCAAATTCACCCATCCAAGTCTGCATGATTTTTTTTTTTTGCTGAGAAATCTTGTTGAAAAGCATAGCTTTGCTGGCTGTGGCATTTTGAGTAAGGGACAGCATTTACTTCGAGTCAATCTGCCCTTAGCTCAGGCATGCAGGCAGGAGGGTGTGCTTAGCTAAGAGAGCCCCTCCTGAAGACTCCTGGGATGTGTGACATCAAGTAAAAGAAGAAATGTAAACACAAAAAAAAAGGTAAAAACAAGTAAATATTATATACTTTCTTACTAATGCTAGCAGCATAAGGAGTAGAAATAGTCAGTGTTGACTGAGAGGGTGAAGTTCCGCTTTAAGGTCTCTGGCTCAGGGGAACTGAACAATGACAGCAAGGCAACTCAAATAGCATTTTTCGGACAGCTGTGGCATCGTTTTTAAACCTGCACTCCGTACAGATGTACTTACCAAGTCAAAAGGAACGGCACAGAGCACCAGACTAAGTGCAGTAGTATGATCACAGTTTTTATTAGAACTATTTCAATTTTAGAAGTAAAAACAAGGCATGTCTCCATGATACAGATCTCTTCCTATCAGTAGGTCCGCAAGGTAGATGTTCAGGATGCTGCTGTGGCCTCCAGCAGGATCAGATGCCACTGCCAGATGAGCCAAGTAAAGCTGAGAACTAGGCTGGGACACATAGGGGTACTGGACCGAAAGTGATGTCACTGTGGGCGGATCAGAAAGCGGAGGGGGTATGGTTATGTGCGTTTAAGGTTTGGTTTGAGGAAGAAGTGGCAGGGCTTTGAAACACAAAACCACACCCCTCTGCTTCCTGTTCCCCCCATGATGTCATATTCGGGTTCTCGGCATTACCTGGCTCATCCTGTAGTGACATCCTGACCACCATCTACCTTGCATACCTATGGAGAGCATTGATCTATATCATGGAGACATGCTTTGTTTTTCCATCTAAAAGTGAGTTGCCAGTTGTCTTGCAGTAAAAACTGTGCTCATACTACTGCACTTAGTCTGGCATCCTCTGCTGTTCCTGTTTATTTCCTCAGAGGTTACTTAAAGTGGTTCTACAGGCTGAAGGTTTACCTTCATGTATTCTATGTATGAAGATAATAAAAACCGTCTGTGTGCAGCGGTCCCCCAGCTCCCCGCAATCCTTACCTGAGTCCCCTCCAATCCAGCAACGTTCTTTGACCATATTTTGCTGTCTGGGGAATCTTCCTCCTCATTGGCTGAGACCATTGGCTCCTGCTGCTGTCAGTCACAGCCAGTGATTCAGTGAAGATAGAGCGAGTTTGGGGGTGGGGGGGGGGGGGGTGGGGGGGGGGTCGAGCCACGGCTCTGTGTCTTATGGATGCTTTGCTTTCCCTGGGGGGGCACCTGAAAAGAGGATCAGGGCTGCTCTGCAAAATCACTGCACAGAGCAGGTAAGTATGACATGTTTGTTATAAAATAAAACAAAGCTTTAGTATCATTTTAACTCTTATGGAGAGCAGATACTGGTGTTGTGTGGAGCAGAATGCATTTATGGAATAATTTACATGGTCTTTTTGGGGTTAACAAGGGATCTATAGATTCAACTATAGCTTGTTTGTTAATTTTTTTCCCTCTTTTACTTGTTCATGGTTGTTTATAAGTGGGAGGCTTCTGTCTTGTGCTATTTGCTTGTCTTTTGGTTTGGTACTTCTCAAATCTGCATTATTTGTAGCAGACATAAGATACGTACCCTAACATGTACTGTGGTCCCCTGTTGCCCTGTCTTGCCACCAAATATCCTCAATATCCCTATGCAAGCTTCAAGTTTCAGACTCAAATTTTGACTGTTGGTTGATGAGATCTTCAGTATGTGTAGGAGGATGGATTGTGACATGTGGTCCTGTACTCGGAGGCAAGGGGTTTTTCTAAGTGCTTTGGTGGTGGGGGACAACTATGCAGTACTCCTCTCCAGGGTTTCATTCATATATAAAAACTTACCTTTGAAACATGGAAGGAATGCAGTATATTTCCTTTCCAGCCCCTTGTCTTGAGACATGTTTGCTTCCCTGCTCCCTGACTGCTGTAAGTGTTCCACATTTCTGGGTGTCTGAAAACCTACTTCCCAGCTTCATACTACAATTCTTGACATTGGTTCTTCCATTATCACAAGACATACAAGCTGGTGGAAGGAACAGATATGTGCAATCGGGGGGAAACAGGTTTTCATCCTGACTAGTCGACTCGCTTGAGCAACAGAGAAGAATTTTCAAGACACCGGCTGCCGGAAAGGTAAACATGTTTCCAATACTTTTGTCAGGCGTGCTTTCAGATACAAGCCATTTGAATCAGCTCATCAAATTGTGAAAGTTCTAAGTATTCTGGATCAGACGTTCACTACACAGAGCTGCTCTTTTCGGACACGACTGAAGAGTTTTACAACCAATCCAGTTCAGCACCAGTTTATACTGGCTCCTGCAGTGCATAGATTCCTAAATGCACATCTGGAGAAAGAGGGTATGCTTGGAGATAGATATCCATCTATTATAAACATTTTTTTTCTTTTTGTATATTTCAAAAATGTTTTCCCAAAACCAAAAGGCAGATCTGGGTAACTAACCTTACCATTGTGCTCCAGAAGGTTTTACCCCCTTCAGTCCATTCTTTGCTATTTATCACGGTGCTACTTTAACTGGCAATGCTGTACCCAAACAAAAACTACATAATTTCTTTTCACACACAAATAGACCTTTCTTTTGGTGATTATTTGATCACCAAGTTTTTCTATTATATAAATGAAAAAAGACCAAAAAGTTTTAATATTTTTTAAAATTTTACTTTCTGTTATAAAACATCCAAATCTAATTTCTTCATAAATGTAGGCCAAAATGTATTTTGCTTCATGTCTTGGCTAAAAAAAAAAAAAAAAATCCCAAGAAGTGTATATTGATTTGGTTTGCGTGAACATTATAGCGTCTACAAAATATGGTATATTTACTGCAAATTTTATTTATTTATTTTTTACTACTAATGACGGTGATCAACGACTTATCGAGGGACTGTGATAGTGTGGTGGGCATTCTGACACTGGGTGGGAACTGACTATCCGCTACTGACATCACCAGTGACACAAATACAGTGCCGAGTGAACACGTGAGCCAAGGACTTCGAGAAATAAAACAAGGAAAATTGGTCAAGGATAACGAACTCGACTTTACTATTCAGCAGGGTGGATTTTATTTAAATCAAACTGATTTAAATCACGATTTTTAAATCACTAGTCAGTAAGGCTTGATTTAAATTCTAGTTATTCTACATAAAGACTAATTCTTGCTGGTATAACTTTAATATGCAAGTAGATGAAGATTTTTAGAATAACAACTTTTCATATTAGTTTTTTTATCCCCAGTTTAATAGGTTAATCATTCGTATTTGGACAACTTTTCTGTTGTACTTAGGAAGGAGAAAAAATAATCATTACCTTAATAATAACAATTTAAATAGATTTATTCAACTGAAACAATAACATTCCAGCATATGTGATTTGCTTAAACATCCATGTTTAACTAATTTGGCTAAACAAAATATATTATATTTTAAGAAACTTAGACTGTCAGCCCCTTCCTCCTCACACTTAGGCTACGTTCACACTAGCCTTACTTGTGCAGGCGGCACTCCAAAGAGGCGTTTTGGTAAAAAATATTTTACCGCTATTCCCAAACGCCACTGCCAATTCTTGCACATTACAGCACATGGTGATTCTGTTCTAAAGGGAGCGTTTGCGTCGCGTCGCGGCAAACGAAGTTAGCCTT